AATATGGATGTGTGTGTAAGCCTACGATGAGTGTGGGTAAGATGTCAGATCTCCCCAGAGCTGCAGCTACAGGTGACTATGGGCCACCTGACACAGGTGCTGAGAATCAAATTGAGGTCCTCTGGAAGAGCAATAGGTGCCCTTGACTGATGAGCCATCTCTTCAGCCCTATTTTCTTTCTTTTATTATTTGTTTGCTTATTTAGAGACATGACTCACTGTATAGCCCTGACTGACCTGGAACTCAGAGGTCTGCCTGCCTCTGCTCCCAGAATGAGACATCTTTGTGGGGACGGGGAGGAGGACAACATGCGAGGGACTCCCAGCGGAGTCCTGGCTGACACGGAACTCTAGTAGATAGACCAGCTGTCCTCATTTCTTCTTTTCTTTTCTTTCTTTCTTTCTTTTTTTGAGACAGGGTCTCTCTGTGTAGCCTTAGCTGTCCTGGAACTCACTCTGTAAACCAGGCTGGCCTCTGCTTCCTGAGCCCTGGGATTAAAGGTGTGTGCCACCACTGTTCGGCTCTCAATTTTTTTTTAAAGCTGTCCCTAAATTGTTTATAAACTTCAACCTCTGAAAAACACTTGAGCTACACCTTGTCTAATAAATGAATTTCTCACCCTGGATATCTTTTTTTTTCTCTCTTTTTTTAAAGACCCAAAAGCTCTGGATACTTAGATGAGGCCAAAGATTTCTGCCAACTCTAAGATTCTCTACATCTGTGACAACTGTTCCATCCCCCTAAACCCCAGCAGCTGTGACTGTGACAGAGAAACAAGGAAGTCCTTCCTTGGAGCTTCTCCAAGTGTTTCCTGCTGTCCTTGGAATCCTTGTCCTGCAAGGTGGCAGAGAGACAAAGTGTTAGTGTGCAGATCTGGCAAGCAAGGAAGGTGAAGGCAGGTGCTCTGCAATCGCCTCCCTCCATGCTTTGGGGAAGGAGAGAGCCAGGTGTGGGTCAAGCCCGGCACTTGCTGCTCTCTGCAGCTGTCTTTCACTGGGATAATTAAATGCCAGACTGGGGATGTAGCTCAGTAGAGGACTTGTCTAGTCTAGCATGCACAAAGTCCTAGGTATAGTAGCCAGTGCTACATAAAACCTGCTGTGGAGCCGACAGGATGGCTCTGTGAATAAAGGCACCAGCCACCATGGTGGTGGGACCCATGGTAAGGTGGAAGGATCCACTCCTGAAAGTTGACGTCTGTCCTCCACACGTGTGCTGTGCTGTATACACATACATGTAAATAAACATGCAATGGTTTTTTTAAAAAGATTTGTTTTGTTTGAGACAGTGTCTCTCTATGTAGCCTTGGTTATCCTGGAACTCACTCTGTAGACCAGGCTGGCCTCTGACTCAGAGAGATCTGCCTGCCTCTGCTGGGATAAAAGGCATGTGTTACTATAATGATTTTATCTTAAGTGTG